TTTTTTTTTTTTTTTTTTTTTTTTTTTTCAAGGGCCCAGCATGGCAGCTTGGGAACGTGGAAAATTTTCCTTCATTTAAAGGACCTGGGTTTTACTTTGCTTCTTCAGTCTCTTAAACTGCATTTCTAGGTCTGTTAATTATTCATTATACCCTAATTATATTTAGTCCACCATCATCACTCTTTCTTTGGCAAAGAAAGTTGTTATTTATGAGTCAAAAGCTATTTATGAAGCAGACAGTCTGGTATCATCAGAAAGACAGGAGTTGGGGAAGCAGTTTTAATTATTAAGCTTCGATTAAAGAGAGTGAGTTAATTTAACAAGTCCAACTGGTTTTCTCTCTATTTTTTTTTTTCCCTAGATGTGCAGAAGAAAACATAACCATTGATCTGTCAGGCCTGACCTGAAACTGTAGGACTTGCTTAAATGCCCCAGGAGATGGAAAGATCAGTTCTGTGTTATTTTTTTCTGAATGATGTGAACAGTGCTTGCTGGGGTCGTTTTTGTAGTCCACAGGCTCAGAAATAAAATTTTGTTGTAAGGGATAACCTGATAGAAGATGGCCTTTTATCCTGACAGGCTGGACCTAGACACTCCGGTGCGTGTCCTGCTGTTTCATCTTGGAATATCATTTATTTTGTCGCGTTAGGGTAGGGGGGTGTCATTTGAGCACCTCGTTTTCCATCGGTCATGGTGGCATTGAGAAGGAGCATTAAGCATCAGTTGAACTTGGTAGCTTTGGTTTCTGTATAAGCTCAAGACTTCAGGGCAGGGATTACATTTCTGTTCTGTGTTGGTTCAAAACTGAGTAGACCAAGACCTTTGGTTCATGCCAGGGATCCAAAATGCCATTAAACTGAAATTTTGGTTTGTTAGTTCTTGGAGATAGTTTTCTACCCTAGTAGTAAGCGGGTTTTGTGTTTTGTTTTTTTTTCCTTTTTTCCCCTTTTTTCCTTTTTCTTCTTTTTTGTATAAAGAAAACAATCTTGGAGAAATAATCCACGCTGTATCTTTTTGCACTCTTTCTTTCCCATGTCTGATTCTCCTAGTTTCAGTCTAGACAAAGGAAATTCTTAAGGCCAAGGACAAATTCTTAAGGCCAAGGGAGAAAAAGAAAAAAATTCAACTCATCTGAAAAACAAGTCAGAAAAAAATACAGGATCTCATCTGAAGGCCGATCTTTCCCTGTTACGTGTTTGTACCGTGTCCAGCATAGCCCTAGGTCCCTGGAGTCTCACCCCTTACAGCTCAACATCACCTCTGTTTCTCCTAAAAAGAATGAATTAATCATATAACATCAGGGTAGCTTGTGCAAGTCTATTTAATTACAGTGCCGCGTGAGGACATTTGTTGGTGTCACACGTACGTGTGACGGGTATTACACACTCTTGACTCTTCGGGGAGTCCTGTTCTCACTGGAGATTTTCACCACAGAGCTAGTGGCGCTTTTTTTTTTTATTTTATTTTATTTTTTCCTTTTTATTTCAGCAGGATTTAATAAGCTGGTTAGACCTACTGTAACTAGTTTACTCTTCAGTCAGGAAGATAAACTGTCATGGGAGCAAGCAGGCAAGCGCCAAACACAGCGCAGGCAGAATTCACTAGCTTCTTAATAAAACCCTGTTGAGGGGTGCAGAGAGCCACATGGGCTTCAGCAAACTGAATCACAGAGAGGAAAAGCAGGAACAGGAAGGCTCAATGAGCAGAACTGAAGCTTCAGTTACAAATAATCAGGAAATAGGGGCTATAGCAAGGGTCTGAAGTTCTTCAGAAATGAAGACATGAAATCTTCTCACTAATATGTTTTAAAAACATATCAGTGCCCTCCCCATCACCAGCACGTCCCGCCGGCTGCAGTCCTTGGGAAAACAGTATTTTTTCCAGAGTGGAAGTCACCGTGAGGACTGTATTTGCCAGACTCGGATCTGTGGACAAGAGGCATCAGAATCCTGTATGATGCAGCTGACTTCTCGGAAGTTTCTACGAACACCTTCCATCATAACTAGGGGCTGGCTGTCAGTCGTGGTGCCAGGTGCTATACAAACAGATTGCAAAGACCGTCCTCGCTCCTGGCATTAGTTTATTCTTTGTAAAGCCAGAGGCGATGATATATTTTGGTTGTCTCTCGAAAGGAGCTGTGAAAGCTTGGTTCATGGGTGGAAAGCACTTTAGCTTGTTGTCTTTAAGTATAGATGTTTTATGGGAAAGGAAAACCTGCCGCAGAGGGACATGAACAGACGCGGCATTGCCGCCTCTCCAAGGGCAGTGCGGCTATAGATACTCCCACAAGATACCTCTGAGGCTGGAGTGATAGGAATGAGTGGCTTAAAATGTCATTGGGATGAATGACAGGCTGTTGGTAATTTCTCCCAACAAATACTTAATCTCTAGGAAATGACACCTGCGTGGGTTTGGTTTTTGGTGTTTTTGTTTTTTTTTTTCCAAGTTATCAAACATCTGAAGGACAGAGGCCCCTTTTCAGCATCTTTTTTCTTCCATGATGTTTTGGAAGAGTTTTTCATCTGGTAGTTTAAGTGAGTTGAGCTGTAAAGTTCTGCATCTGAATTCAGAAAAAAAAAAAAATTTAAACAAGGTACACGGCATTGAAGACGGTGATTTTGTCCTGGGTTAACGCTGAACACAAAATAAAATTATAGCACAAAGTTAAGACATCATTCACAATCTGCTTATGTTGAGAATTTAGTGCAGGGCAAATATCACCTACGGCAACTTCCAAACGCTTTAAAGCTTTTTTTGTCTATATTCATACAGTTTTCTATCTTGAATCACAAAGCCAAAAGGTACCATTTGACTTAGTGAATGAACAACTCCCCACCCGTTAATTCACCAGGTCAAATGGCTCCTCTCTGCGCTGCGATTGTAAATACGTTAGAAAATGGAGTCGTAGCTGGTTAGTATTTTTCCACCAAAAAAAAAAGCTGGTGACTTTACATTATTCTTTGAATCTTTTAAGTAATACCAGTCTGAGTTGATTCCCATCACTGAGTGAACTTGCTTTGTTAAAATTAGAAAAAAAAAAAAAAAAAAAAAAAAGGAAAGATCAGATAAAGTGTGCCTGGGATCTCTAGAGTTTCCAACTTTCGGATTAAAAAGGATTGGAAAGTTTCCTGTGCTTCTGTAAGAAGTGCTTTTCCCCTTGCCTGTGATTCTGTTCACATACAAAACACAGAGCTTTCCTAACCGCGCATGACAGTGCTAAGACAGAAGAGCGACGGGCCCCCGCGTACGTGTTCGTAGCGTTTTGCTCTGACAGCATCATGTAAGACCCGCCTCACGTCTGTCACCAAAGCGTCGCTCTGACAACCGCGTGCTCTCCCGTCAGTTTACACGCAGGACCCGTTTCTGCTGAGGGTATATGCTCAAACCCTTCACTAAGCTGGGACACGATCAGGCATCCCTGGGGTCACTCTGTATCTACATTTACAGCGGTGAACAGACCTTGAGGAGCCACGTTCAGGTGTTATACAAATAGTAACACTGGGTATTGGCCTCTTCCAGGAAGACGAGGTTTGGAATGGAAACCCTTGGATCAAGGTGGGACTTGTGTTTCAATTCAGGGCACAGCTGAGAGCGTGTGTGATAACTGCTGGACAAAATCTCTTCTTCACACCCAGGTGGAACACATCCTACCAGCACCGTCCAGCCCACCGCAAAATGCTTCGGTAGCAACACAGGAAAACCAGGGAGTAAAAGAAACCCCCCTTGGCAGTGGTCTTTTTTCTGTTCAGAAGCAGAAACTGTGTGACTATTCCACGAACTGCACAGAGAGACAAGGGACTACACAGCTCCCTGGGTTGTGTTTTAGCATCTTTAGGTAACTAGAACTCTGGGAGCCTGCCTCTGCGCTATGGCTATTGTAATCACCCAGTTCTCCAGATTCCACATTAATTTCTAGCCAGACCTATTTCCATGTCATTTTATTCATCTTACTATTGTTTTATTTACAGACATATTACAAAATATATTGTGAACTGAGTACAGTTAGTAAGTACAGTGTGGATTTGGCAATGCCAGAGTCAGCGTGGTGAAATTATGCTGCTGCGGGTTTTCAGTTGTTTAAATCCTTGAAAGACAGACACCAGAGGGTAAGGGATGCTGGAAACACCCAGACCTTTCCAGAGTCCAACCTGGACACAGGTGCAGGTCCAGCTAGGGACCTTCTTGGGCTTTTATTCTGGCTTTTTTTTTCAAAACACACAGTTTTATCTCACTTACTGTTAATTTAAATCAGGCACGATGTTATTCTGTCCTCTCTCTACTGAGAGACATAGGCGAATCGTATCTGAGGTGGTCCTTGGCTTCGTGGCACCCTGCAGTTAGGCGAGAACCGGACCTAACTTAGCTGACTTGTTCAAGTTCACATCCGAGGCAGAGGTGGCTGCCGACGCCTCACCCAGCACACTCTCTTCATGTTTCGACGTTTACCGCTTTACTAACGCTCCTCACCTAGTTTTGAAACTTCTTGTAAGAGACTGGAGATGAAACGCTGGTGGGCAAGAATTGCTGCTGGGCTGGCTGATGATGGGTAGTACTTGGTGTCCTGTTTGATCTGAATGTATACCATGCAATACAAGGGATCAGTTCTTTAGTTTCCCTCCGTCTGTTTTTTGGCTTGGCCTTCTGTTCAATTCATCCTATTTATTCGTATTTACACTGATGTAGTGGTCCCACGTGAGGCTTATGCTCCCCTTCTTCCTTCTGCCCATTGCTTGGAGGCCCACGTTTTTGCGGGGATTGGATCTGTAGGTGGCAGAACCTTCTTAGCCCACTTGGGGACCTCTTAAAGTTTGTTTTTTTTCTCAAGGCTTCAGCAGTTTAATACTGGGTAAGTCAGCTCAAGGTGAAGGCAAAGCTATTGCACGGAGTTTCCGCAAGCTCTGTCTGGCTCCTATTGCAAAGCGGAAAAGATGGTCTTGTCTTTGGTGAGAGTTGTACCGATGACGGAACACGCAGGCCAGTGGCAGCAGTGACCTGTGGCACCCGCGCGTGCCCCTGCGACTGTCTGTGTTTAATGCACTCAAGGTTTGATGGCCACAGGCAAGAATCAAGTGAGTGTGTCTTGACTTTTGCTTCCACTTTAAACACAGTGTGAGGGTAGCTCTGAAAAGTGCCCCTGGGATTGATGTCCCACAGTCTGAAGGTCACCACGAGGGATGAAAGAACCCCCCACATGAAGGTCCTTGTTCCATCCCCGCCAGGAGGTGCATGGGCACGGCACTGCTGTAACACCGTGGGCCTCACGCCCGGTACAAGAGCTCGAAACCTCTCCACGGCTGCCCATTTGTGTGCGTGAATGGCATGGGTTTCTTTCTTCTCGCTCTGAAAAATGTGGTTGCTGTTTTTACTTTTAACAGTGGAGGATCTTCATGAAAGCTTTGCGAAATTCGATGTTGAAGGTGGTGTAAATAATCGGGTTGACAGCACTGTTGACATATCCGAGCCACGTAAAGGCGCTGTACATTGCCGGGGGGATGTTGCAATCGCAGTGCATGTTCAGGATGTGAGTGATGAAGAACGGGAGCCAGCAGATGATGAAAACACCTGGGGGGAAAGGGAAGAGACAGATTTTGGTTGCTGAAAGCTGGACGAATCTTGAGACTAAGAGAACAGGAAGGTTCTTTTACGTATAAAGGAAAACTCTTTCCTTGAGGAATAAGCCTTCCGTTTGTCTGTTAGGTTTCACAGTCTGTACTCTGAGTATACAGGTACTAAAGAACAACTTTGCTGATGCAATTAGACTGGCTACATCAAAAAATCTGGCCTTCAGAGGTGCCAGTTCCTTGCTGAGCTATGCTGCCTTTGTGTTCTAGAAAGCCCATGAGCTCTCTTGCCCCCGCACCCAGCTGTCTGTGGCAGTCCAAACACCCCACGGGTGGACAGGTTTCTGAGCCTTTTGTATAGCACCGTGTCAACTCTTCCCAGCCAGGAAGGAGGTCGCCTCCCTACTGGCAGCCTCTTGCCCGCTTCCCCACGTATCCTCGAACGTACCAAGCGCAATTATTTCTGTGGAGGCCTGGAAAAAACAGTCTATGCTAACCTACCCTAGTCCTCGGGTTTTCTGCAGCACCACAAGAGGAAACCAACACACGCTCTCACCGAGAACAATGGCTAGCATCTGGGTGGCTTTCTTTTCCTTCTGTTGTGACAGTTTCCTCCTGCTCACAGTCTTGAGAGAGGTCCTTGTCTTGCCATTGGGCATAGACTGGATCTCAAAGACCTTGGCTGTGTGGGGTGTTTCTTTGGCATGTCCATTCTTCTCTACTTTTCCAGGGCTGTCCAAAGGTGCCTGCAGGGTCGAGTTGGTGCCCTGATTAGAAGCAACTGGCACAACCAGCTGATGGTTACATGGTACCACAGGTCTGATGGTGGTTTTCTCAGGGGGACTGGTACTGGACACCATCTCCATTTCCATCTCTTCTATGTGACTCTCCGCCTCCTGGACAAGAATCAAATGTCCACAACATAAAGACAGATAAATATACAGAGAGGAACAATGAACATTCCTTACAGAGCGAAGCTGGATGATGTGGAAGAACAATCAATCCCTCTTTTCCCTCCCTACATTTTTGGTAGATACTTGGAGAAAGGGCTGTAGAGTGTTACGGGTAAGAATACTGTTGGGTAGATGGGATCGATAGAACTGCAGTGAATGACTCTCCTTCATTGCACAAAGAGGCTAAGGAACGGGAGAGACACTGTCTCCACTCCCCATCGGTTTTATTTAGGTTTTCAGAATATAAATAAATAAAAAGGAAATCAACAAGCAAAACCCAACGAAGCCAATGCAGTGCAGGGCTTAAAACAAGTAACAGAGAGGAGAAGAAAATCAAAGGCACAAAATGTTAAAATGTCATGGCTTTTACAGCTGATCTTTAGGTGAGCTTACTCTGGCTTTTGGAGTTCTATGAACTTAAACCCCCTGCTTCACTCTAAGGAATGGGAAGAATATTTACATTTTGAGATTGAATGGTAACCTTTGTTCTTAGCTTATTTTCTCCCACCTTACATTAATTAATTTTGCGTCCTGAGAGGAGGGAAGGGGAAAGCTAAACACTCTGAAAAGCTACCACTTCTCTTTAACACTCACCACTTTGCGCTTATTAACTTGGAAACTCCCATTGGACTTCACAATAACTGTGCAGAGCTTGACGTCTTCTGGATGAGTGCATTTGTCCTAAGGGGCAAGCACCAGCTCAGAGGTTACACAAGCAGATAGTAATTGGGAAGGGAAGCCGGTAAGGAAGGCACGTGGAAATACAAACACAGGGCATGAAGCAGAAATTAATCACCGTGACTAAGGTGCTAAGGATGATGGAAAGCTACTCTGAAGAAGCAGTAATGGAGACATCTATCCCTTGTGCTTTTCACCAAAGGAAGGAAATGACAAAGATCTGCTCATGTCTCACTCTCTCCCTGTCTCGCTGCCTTCTTTGCTTGACATAGCACCGGCCCGCGAGGCGGCGCAGTTTGGAGGGGGCACGTTCCTACTGGTTGTTCCGCACGCGCTGCGAGAGTGGCATTTTCACAAGCGGCCTCACGCTTAACACCCTCAGCTGGACCCCACTTGTACACGTATCTGATGCTTTGAGAGGCTGTTTTCACTGCAGAGGTATCATTAACAGCGAGGTAGTTTGCACCCCAGCCACACAAACAATTCCCGCCGAACATCACAACAGCAGGACTGACTCAGAGCATAGCCTGCAGTCCTGGGTACCCCAGCCCAAGCTCAGCAGAGCCAAAGGAAATGCGGTCTGGTTAATGAAGCAGCTCCTAATTAACATCTGCTGATGAAGCATCCCCTGAGATCCAGGGAGGCCTGTGAAGCACCAGCCAGTTGACCTGGTCATCCAGACTGTGCAACTGGGACTCCAGAATGGCACAGGGCACAGCGTTCAGCTCTGCGGTCCAGTCCTTCACCTAGTCCAGACAGCGTCGTCTGGGGAAAGGAGGAAGAGCTCCGGGGAATGAGGTGGAGCAGGGAGGGGAAAGGACGGAGACTGCGGAGAGCAAGGCAGAGGTCTAGTTACCTTCAGCGGGGCCCGTGTGTCCGAGTCCAGGCCGTGGCTGCTGCGCTTGGTGTTGACGCGCTTCCTGCGCTTCCGGAGCACGATGTAGATCTGCACGTACACCAGCAGCGTGACGATGAAAGGAACGTAGAAGGACACGATGGAGGAATACACGACAAAGGCAGGATTGGCAATGATGCACTCGTTCTCATCTGGAAGACATAAAGCTTCAGGCTTGTTGTCCCCGCTGCTACCGCTGAGCTGACACTGGCGTCCCCCCGCCCCGTCTCCCTCTTTCAGAAGGCAGAGGGACAGGCAGAGAGCGAGGGGCTCGTCTCTAGGAGGGACCACCACGTCAGCTGGGAGCAGTACGACAACAGCAAACTCCCCTTGGTCGTAGGGAGTCACGTACGACCCGAAGTCCCTGGGTATTGCTCGCCTTATAACCAAAAGCCTGCTGATCCCCCTCTGTATATGACCCATTCCTCCTAGGAAACGGATGACTGAGCAGCCAGCTCCTTCCCTCCTGTCCCAGTGATGCTATTTGTCCCATGGCTTTCCTTTTAACATTTTAATATAAGAGGTTTTTTTCATTTTTCGTTGGACAGTGTCACATTGATGAGTGCTGTGTAAACTTCTACATACCCTCAGTTCTGATGTGTCTAAAACACTGATCTGGCACGGCGAGAGATGAAAAAGATCCAGAAGCAGCTGGATATAGTCTGGGATGACAATGGGAGAGGACACCTGAAACAGGGATGGGTACACCAACACACCTAAAACCTGATCGCCGTGTGTATTCCTGACTTGTAACAGAAGACTATCTGGGGACCCAGTAAAGCCCGGAAGATGCTATTAGCCCGCTGCAGGTGGCGTAACACTCACCTGTGTTGTTGAGGCCAAAGAGGAGTGGGCAGGAGATGGCAAACGAAAGCACCCAGACCACGGCAATCATGACCGTGACCCTGCGCTTCGAGCTGTAGCGGGTGTTATACAGCATCGGCATGGCTACTGCGGTGTACCTGCAGGGTGAAGATACAAAGCCGATTTATTGTTACTCTGCCAGTGCTGACAGACTTCGTGGGACACTACACGGAGTTACTGCGTCTGAAAGCCCGGCCCAGCACGAGAATATAGGGCAAGTCAGGTTTCATGAGTCTCCGAGATGTCTGCGTTCCCTGCTTGGGAAGGCGCGAGCCCGGGGTCAGCTGAGCAGAGCATTTTCCTTCCACCTCCTCCGCCTTCCCACTGATGTCTGCTCCACCACTGGGGTACATACACAGAAGGGCTGAACTAATGGGGACAAATGCAGACAATTCCATTTACATTCTCCGAACCGGCGTTTCTGTGTCTGCTTCTGACGGAATCCCTGCTCGGACCTCACTGAGGTCCTCTAAATGGCTCTTCAAAAGATGTCAACACCACCAGTTCTCACCATTTTCAAGTCTCTGAGTCACAGGTTAAATCAGACCGTATAAAAGACGGCTGTGACTTGCTACCAGGGATTTGACACGACTTGCTGCCACGGAGCCCTCACCTGTCAATGCTGATGGCACAGAGGTTGAGGATACTGGCAGTACACATCATAACATCAAGGGTTACAAAGATATCACAGTGGATCCGACTAAACCTCCACTCGCCAACCACCTGCAGAGAGAGAGGGAGTAAGGTCAGGAAAAGAATTCACTGGGGGTGCGCTACTGAGAGGCTCTAACGGGAAAACTTTGCACGAAGATACAGACGCTCGCTGGTAGCTGGAGCTCTGCTAGTTCATGGGGGGCTCGAAATTCTGTCAACAGACATTCCAGCGGGAATCGGGCGACACGCAGTCAGTCCCATGATGTGTCAGGAAGGATCGTTTGCCGCTGAGCGCCTTTGAGGAGTGTGTCCCGTCTAGTCTAAAGGTCTCCAGTGACGGCCACAAAGCAAGTACCCTGCTCCGTCCAAACCACTCTTCAGAGCCTTCCCCTGGGGTCTGGTGGGATTTTTGTCCTTCCTAATTCCATCCTGGTACTCTGTATTGAATCGGGCAGCCCAAACACAGACTTGGGCTCGTATTCCAATAACACAAGGGAGTGCAAGGCTCCTCAAAGGCAGAGCGAACTACATAGGAGCCTAAACAGGTCTCCGAAGCCTTGCAGAGAAGGATTAGGAAGGCAACACAATAATTCTATATCCTCTAATTGTATTTACAACTTCTTATTAAACACTTTTTTGCAAGTATACTTGGCAAAGATCAGCAGTAGAGAAGCAGGAGCTCTCCTTCATTTCTTAGTTTAAAAAATTGGGGGAGAAATTCCTCACTTTTTTTTTTTTTTTTTTTTTTTTAATTCAGAGTGGAAAATTCTTTGGCATACTACATTTTGTGACAAAGACAAAGAACTAACGATAACGCTTCCAGTTACCAGCAGCCCTTTCTTTTTCACTTATCTTGCTATTGAAACCGAACTTTGCCAATTAAGTTTAATAGCAATTATTAGGACTGCTGTATTTGACATGTGATGAAAAAAAGTATATTTCCCTCTAATAAAAATAGTCCTCGTGCATTTGAAAATAGAATGAATAAGATATCTATTCTTTGGTTATTTCTGCTCTGATATACATAACCATAGGCAGCATAAAGAAGGGAGAAAGAATGACTGCATTGAAGACTGAGTGACAGATGAATACTCAGTGATTTCAAAAGCACTTCAGAGACAGTTATATATCAGTAACTTTGATGAGAGTTTGCCCAAAGGCAAAGGTTTCCAGCCAGATAAAAACCTCTGCAAAATCCGTTTCCTGAATGCACTTTTGGAGTTCTTTCTCTTAGTGCTTTCTAGATAGAAACCTCAGGACTCTGGAGGTAAGAGATTTGTTTGCGTCGAGGCTGATTTTTAAAAGGATTTTCTCATTTTTGTCCGAGCTTGTGACACAAAGTCTAAGGACACAAAAAAAAAAAAAAAAAAAAAAAAAAAAAAAAAAAAAAAAGATATTTAGAGAACAAAGGGTTCTGGCCAGTTTGGATTTCAGATCCATCATGTGCTAAACCCATGTCAGTCTCACGGCTCCTTCTCTGTCAGCAAGTGTTCGTCATGTTTTTTGTGTCTTCAAGCTGGCAGTAGGTTTAGCAGAGTGTGGATAAGAGCAGAAAGGGCAATCTTTTATTTTTTACTTTTTTTAAAAATTTTTTTAAATATTGCTGAGATTTGGAGGCCTGATTTTCCTACTTGGTGGATTAAAGAAGCTGAGGTTCCCGACCAACTCGATGTACACATGAGCCCGGAAAGGGGAAGCATCTTAAATCGTTTGGGCTTGATTCTTCCACATTAAAATAAGAAGTGTCTGAAACTCTTACAGCTGGGCCTAAGAGAGCCAGAGCTTCTCACGGCATAAGCCTCTGCTTAATATGGGCTGTCATGAAAGAGGAGTGTGACAGGAGAGTGCAACTAGTCCCGGAGGCACTGACTACAGCCACAACCCACCTGTGGTCGTGTTAATAAGCTTTAGCAGATGCGTGATGCTTTACATTTTTAAAGTGCCACGAAAACAATAATTGACTGGAGTGACAATTAGTATGGGGGTTTCTCGACAGCCTATGTCATGTCAGCGGGTTTGTTTTGCTTTGCATTAATAATTAATGGGCTAATTGATTATGACTTCATCCCCTGCTCTCCTATCTGTTTTATCGGTTTACGTCATAAACAAAATTAACTGTAAACTCAGCAGAGTTTCAGTCGTACGCTTCCTCACAACCCTGCTCTCTTGGCTGTGATTGCCACCAGCACGCCAGCTCTCCGCTGACTGAAGGAAACGGGCATCCCAGGGAGGGCGGCCACGGAGAGAGGCTCTGTGTCTTCTCTTATGCTCCCCTCTCGAGATACATTTCATTCCTCCAGGCTATTTAATGTTGCAAGCCATTTGCCGTCAGGCAAACGGGACAGTCTGGGGAGTATTTGGCTTTCCCAAACCGCAGCGCCCCTCGTATACGGTTCTGTTTGTAGCAGCATAGAGCGCTCTTGTACCAAAGTGACGTGCTAACGGCTGCCGTGTGAACGGGAGCTTACCTCTGATTCTATTTCTCTCACATGTCGTGACATACGAGCTCTGGATTTACATCCTACTTCTACAGTTGCCTGCTCTTCTTACTCCCGTAGTCCTTGAGAAACGGGGATTTGACTACTGTTATATTTGATGCAGTCTGTGACACCCATGAAGTTGTTGCAGACTCATCCTTGCACTTGGGAGTGAACAGGTCATCTGTTAGCTTTGAAAACAAAGTTGGGGTCTTTCACTTTGGATCCCTCTATTTAAAGGCCAGATTTTCCAGGCAACTGGTTTGTAATTTAGCCCTCTGATCAACAGGGTGTTTTCGAGCCAGCCTGCCATCTGCTATCGCGTCCGTTTCCTGGAAAAAATCTGCCCAACTGTTAGGAAATTAAAAACATTTTTGTTTGGGGAAATCAAGGAGGTCTTGAACCAGCTAACGTTCAGGCTGCTAAACCTTCCCTCTCTCCACCCATTCACCAGAAACATTTAGCACTACAAAAGAAAACTGGGTCACCTACCTCCAGATAGACCACCCAAGGCATGACCAGAGTTGCTACCAAGAGATCTGCCACTGCCAAGCTCACGATCAGGTAATTAGTGGTCGTCTGAAGGGCTTTTTCCCTGGACACAGCCATACACACCAGCACATTGCCAAAAACAATAACAAAGATGAGGAGGGTGAGCAGCATGGCGTAGTAGTTAAACTGAGGCTTCTGGTCTGCATTGGACCCGTTGAGTGGCTTGCTCCAGTTCCTGTCACTGATGTCACCGTTGTACCAAGTGAGGTTTAGGGGATCCATGGAGGTAAAAGTGCCAGGTTCCAGCTCCACCCTGATACAAAAATGTTGAGAAGACAGTCAAAGGCCGACATGTAAAATAAAAATAAAACAATTACGCATGTGCTACCTCACTCCTGGAATGCTCTGGAGCCTGATCCCCCTACCCTGAATTCCTGTGTGCAAATGGTTGACTGGCTGGAAGTGAGATGAAGACCCTGATGGGGGGTTGAACTGATGGTCATATACCTAGGCAGGGATTCAATAAATTAATTCCTATTCCTATTCCTATATGGCCAGGGATATCAGTTACTTCGTGTTACAGCCTATTCAGGCAAAGTGCCTGTTTTTTCTCAGTCTGCGTTTCTCACAGGTCTGTTTTTACAAGTTGTTTCTCACCGTATCTCCTAGGTCATACTTCTGTATGGTGCAGGCTAGCGAAGGTCCGTGAACATCCGTGAGGGTGCATGGATTTTGTGCCAGCAGGTGGTGCAGAGCAGGGCTGTTGGGACTCTGCATGCCCCTGGACCATTGGCGTCCAGTGGCACGTATGTCCCCACCGTAGGAAACCGGCTAAAAGTTACCCCACATCATGCAGAACTTGGCAGCAGGTGTCTGTGTTGGGGTTCCTGTCTGGTGCCAGCATAGGAAAAGCAAATTCCACATTTGCAATGAGACTTCAGTGCGTCTGGCTCGGGCATACAGGAAAGACTTTTCCTGCCGGTGTCGTGAGGCTCTTTTGGTTCACTAAAGAGCAACCAGGGCAGGATCTGGGCAGCGGGTGCTTGTGACAGCTGGCACCATATGCTGGGTATTTCCACACCGTGTCTGAGTCCTGATGGAGTTTCTACACGCTTAGGAGAAGAAGGGATTTCCACATGAAGTGTCTTTGCTGAAGCTGTATGGGCTAAAATATGAGCATTGCCTCAGTCTGCAAATCATCCCTGTCCTCTGAGCCGGTAGTAGAGGCAGAACTGGACATGCTCAGATCTGGCTGGCGTACGCCTGAACCTGCCTTTCAGAGAACCCTGAAGGCCACGAGGAGACGAGCGCTGAGCTGAGTTTCGCTGTAGGAGCTGAGATGTTCCGTGAGCTCACCAGAACCACTGATGCCAGATGCTCCGAGGAGAAGCAAGAGGAGCGGTGTGCTCACGGTCACACAGTCTGGCATGAGCAGAGGCAGGCAGCGGCTAACATCAAGTCATAGCCGTGCCATTGAGCAAGACGAAACACGGCTCCGTCCCTTCAGCTGAAAGAGAGCTGCTCAGTCACCTGGTAATCAGTACGGTGAGGGCAGCAAAGAGAGGGGTCATCCTGCAGAGGGTCTCTGGAATGACGTTAATCCACAGGGACCATCTGAGCCCCTTGCCTGTATGCTTAAAAGCAAAATACTGAGATCTGTATCTGGGCCTGAAGGAGTTACTGCATCAAGAAACGGCACGTTAAGAGAGCGCGATGGAAGAGGGGAGGCAAGAGCTGTTTAAAAGCAACTGGAGATTTTGGCTCCTCTGGTTCTGGTATTTCTGGTTTCAGAGGTCTTGAAGTGCTCAGCACTCACCGCTCGGCACTTCCTAAAATCAAATATTCCATGTTTCTTAAGCTGTATTTCCACACAGACCACGGTGATTTGAAAATCTGGCCGTGTTCGCAGACATCCCCAAACAGGCCGTTTAATTTTCTCCACGAAAGACAAAGTGAATTCGATTTATTAAACCATGTAAGTGATCAAAATAGCAAAACATTTGCAAATATCAAATTCACCTGGGAACAATGGTTCCTTTATGTTTCACTGAGCTTTTTGTGTGCTTTTCTCATTCAGAGAACAATTTGTATAATAATCCTTGGAAATTTGTTGCATATGGGTCCTTAATAGCTGATAATTCAAAAAGTGTCTGTCTGACAGCGCTATCAGCAGCACTTGATAGCTCTACAAATGTCTTCTTAGAAACTGTCAAAGTGTCAGAAATTAATTAAATGTTAGCTTATGTGACTCAGAGTGAAGGGGAAAAAATCAGTGCTATATGCAGCAGCAGTTTTTTCTTTTCTCCTGTTGCCCTTTGATAATGCAAAACTATCTAGAGAAGGCAGAAACACGCACAACATGCAGAACGCAAACAAAGCAGGAACATGGGAAAGTATCTTAAAAGTACAAAAGGAGTGAAATGATTTGGTATGCGCAGCATCAGCCCCTGGGCCCTTGTTCGGGCTCCCGAGCTCTGGCTGCAGTTCCGAAAGCGGAACCGTGCCTCACGGAGAGCCAGTGAGGGGGGCGAGGTGCGGGCGGCCATCCCGCCCTGCTTATCGCTCCGGCCGTCGCAGCCGGGGTGGGCTCGGCGGAACCACACGCAGCCACGCGCTCGGGTCCGTCTGCTGCGCACCCACTTGCCGGGGGTTCGGGAGGATATAAAGGACCTGGATAAAGTGAGCAGAAGTTCTCCTCCATTTCCTTCTGCAGCTTCTGCAAGATTTTATTATTTTTTTTTAAAGTAGAACTCTTTTTGCAGCAAGAATTTTGGCCTCTTCACGCAGCTGATCACCATCGGGAAAATGAAAAGGTTGTGCTTGAACTTAGCGTAAACGAAAAGGTTTGGTGTTTCTGGTTTTGTTTTTTTTTTAAAAAAGTTTTAACTGGGGACAACGAAACACAAAAAAAAAAAAAAAAAAAAAGGTTCCAAATATTTTGTATGAAAATGGGAAAACTAAAACACGGTGTAAATTGTGATGGCGCATCTAAAGGCCGTATCTAGCACATACCCATGGGGTGCAAAACGACAATTACATGGACAACTCGGTTAATTCCTAACGTTTGAGACTTCGAGTTTTCAGTCCTAAAAAATCATTTTAATTTCTCCAGACACAGAACTGACATCACTTGGAAGCGTTATGTACTGCTCTAAGGACCGCTTTTTATTTTACTGCTGACAGTTCCTCAGTAGAGAAGAAAGAAGCACTTTAAAAGGCTGGCTAGAAAAGAGAGAGCTTTTTACTGTGTTTGTCCAGGAAACCACATTTCAGGTGGAGGCAGAGGGAAAGGATCCTAAGTGCGGAGAAGAGGTAGCACCAACGGCACCTCACTCTGCACCGGACCTCGCTGAGTGTCACCACCCCTGTACGCTGCCGCCAGAGGCAAAACAGGCTCAGCTTTAGCTCACACTTTGGGTGCAGATGTGGGTAGAGCCCTGAAACGGAATTAACTGCAGTTAAAGCCACTTTTAATTCCCACACAGAGGCCACACAGATTTTTTAGTATGGCTGCGCTAATCCAGATATAGATTTTCTGAGAGGTCAAGGGCAGGCCAGAGCCACAGGGATGCAGCCTTGTGTGTGGTGCCAGCGGTGCAGCCGTGTGCCTCATGCCCGGAGCCTTCCCCTGCCCTGGGGTCGGGTGGGTACCTGCCTCCGCGCTAATCCTCCCCTTACACTAAGTTCTTTGTGTGCCCCTGTTCAAGCACGGCCTAACTGGGAATCACTTTACCCTCCGGAGGAAAACAGCCTCTCTCAACCAATTCCTGTGCTTTCCAGGTGTCTTTCAGCAACCGGAGGAAATCTGCTCTCTGGTTGCTACTCCCTGATGGAATGACAGGGAAGAAAGGGGCCAGGACAGAGCGAACGCAGAGGCGGAGTTTTTCTCTCCTTTGTAGCTAATTCCCCATTCTTTCTGGAGAGCAAACTGAAAAATATGTTTGTTTGCAATGTCAATATTTCTCCTTGGCTCCTCGATGATGGATCATCTAATTACATTTATGGCAAACGAGCACAACGTCTCCCTGGCAAATGTGTAATGTTCACAACTGGCAGCAACAAAACCGTATGTCTTTCTGGCAAGACCTGAAACATGGAATGTGTATTAAGCGGAGAAGCAGAATTTGCTCTGTCCTACAGAGATGGATGTACCAGACAGCTCCCTGGGAAGCAGAGGGTAAAGGGCTCCAGCGGGAACTCACACCTACAGCTCGCCTGTGTCTGAACAGAATCCTGGGTCTGCCCTCTGCTCTTCTTAGTCCTGTGCTAGGTCAGAGATGCCCCGATTCAGCGCAAATGTCTTTTTTTTTCTTCTCAGAAATAGCAAAGGTGTAACACTCTCTTTGGTTTTTACTCTCCTTGCAAACACCCTTAAGCATTGAATATCCACAGGCCGGATCCTGAGCTAGCTCAGTGCCTAGCAGACACCCTGATGCACGTCACTGTAGCATCTGGTTTCTGTTTGGCAAAGATTTGTGGCCTTTGGCGCTAATCTGGCCCTGGCTGCCAAACGCAGTCAGCCTTTGCTTCCTCATAAACCAGTAGGAACCTCCCTGAAGTTTTGCCCCGGACGCAATGCATTTAAGACCGAGTCTGGAGTTCAGCCTGGAGCAGGCGGGAGCGGAGGGCTGGGCTGCGGGCAGCACTGGTGGGGTCTGGGGGGGCAGCTGCATCAGCACGCTGCCAGGGGTCAGGGGCAAGCTTCCCTGGGGCTCCAGACGTGGTCACGCTGCTCGGCACGGGGTCCTGATTAAGAAAATTAAAATGGTCGGACTGGATGATCCTCAAGGTCTTTTCCAATGCCTTAGGGGCTGAACTCCACGTAGACTTAGCAGGAAAGCAACGGCAAAAGCCATCAGCAACAGCACCCTGATGGCAGAGGTTCCCACTGCAGCCTCAGAACAGTCTCTGCCTCTCCCAAGGTCTTTCTTGGGCGCAGTTCTTGCCAGATTGCCCATTTCCCTCTAATTGCTGTTACCCAGATGTACCCATCGGGTTCCTGAAAGCCTCGCCTAGGACTGCGCCAGAAAGGCGTTTAGCCTCAGACTTACTCCAAAGGCATTACCGTTTCGCAGAAATCAATGTCAAAGTGGAATGTGCACAGGACAGTCCCTCCCTGAAGATTATCATTTTCCCCTGAAATTCTGGAATCAGTGGGCCACAGGAAAGCTGTCAAACCGACATCCTTTCTGTCCCGAAAACGCTTCTTGATGCCGTTCGCTGGGCTCTGCTGAGAATGCAACTGGGCCTTCCAGTCAAGGGAGGTAACATACTCTTTTGGAGTGTGGAGGTAAAGAGAAAGAGAAGGGGCAAGTGTGTTTGAGGAGCTGTTTTGTTTCCCGTTTAGGACTACCATGCAGAGGAGAGCAGTTTCACTATTTTTCGCGTGTAAACCCAGAACTGGTGATCTCTGCTGTGCAGTCCCAGTCACGGTTCACTGGAGAGCAGGGAAGGTGTGTAACAGCTAGCCCTGAGTGGGAACCTCCTCCCATCCAGTTCCATGCCGGGGACAGT